AAACAGGCCTACTGTCAGTCGACAAACTATAGTCTCACCGCGTCTATTCTGTTTCTATCCGCAATACCAAGTCTATGACCCACAACCAACCCACAAATGTTGTGGTACTTCTTGCTTTTATTTAGTTCGATGTTGAACCACAACGGCTCGACCATGAGACTTACTCAGAGGCTTTAGACTCGAATTAGTCACCCAGACGCAGAGGATCGGTAATAACGCCTCGTGGAGCACAGATGGGTTCGCAGGGGTCGAGTGAAATACTCGAACCAGGGAGATAGCAAACGGATCCCACGGGGCAAGAGGAAGATTGTGATAAGACCTAGGGAAGAAGGACTGCGTAAAAAAATAGCAGACTGAACAACATTCCCAGCACAAGGGTGTAGGTGATGAGAACGACAGTGTAGAGGGTCAAGGGTTTTCATGAATGTCGTTTAAAGAAACACACTACACTACATCGAAATAATTACTGTAAAAATTGTAGCAATGAAGGCGTGATAGGAGGATATTAGAACTGTGAATAGACCAGGGCGAAAAGGGAGATACCATAACCGTTTAGCACACATTTGGTCAAAGGATCGGCTTCACTTGTCTCTTTGACGAGTTGCTGTGTAGTGCTAAGAATGTCGTAACTCACTGACGATGCCGGCGAAACGTCTGGGAATGTATTTCGTCCACGGTCCGACTGGAAATGAGTATGCATTCAATGGACTCAGGACAAGGTATGTTTCTAATTCCAATGTTAAGATATTGGAGAAGCCATCAATTCTTCTTCTTTATTCGCTTTTTTAAAATGACTGATAGGCTGTGAGAATATGAACTGACTATTTTAGACTGTTATTAATTGCTAATTGAATGTACAACAGTGAAAATTGCATACCTCTATCAAGACATTATTTAACCTCGGTTAGACAGCGCTTAGTCATATCTCAAGAAGTTAAGGTACAACACTTGATGCACTTTAGTTAAACCGATTTAATAAATCGTTGGAGCTTTTCCGCACTGATTATTGGCTTAGAAACATTTTTATTGACTAATTCAATTCTTGCTCAGGCGTGAACTATTTCGTCGTCAACATCTACAAAGAAGGGTATGGAGAGCTTGATTTCATCGCTCGCACTTCCTACAAACCGGACTTTTACTATTTGAATCTAATTTTAAATGGTTTCCACTTGGCATACTATGCGGTAGATCTGACAGAAGCTGAGTTTCTGGCATTTTACTAAATGTAAGATATTGTGATTGAGGGCGCAGGACTAGATACGTTCCATAAGTTCTCCCTGTCGATTCAACCAAGTTGTGAAAACGAGGTCAAACTAACATTATACAGCTAAGGGAGACCGATCGAAAACAGAAACCACACTTCTTGGTCTTCCTATCTACTATTTATTTAGTATAGTCCTAAGAAAGAGTGTAGGCGTGGCTTTCTACAAGATTGTTTTCGGATCTATTAATATTTTAATGTCTAATCATACTCTAATAACAAAACTCATTTGCGATGATTGTCGTTTCTCTCATCAAATTACGAAACTATCAATGAAATTTACTCTTGCTCACACCTCTTATTCTATGCTTAATTTAAATGTCTTTTTCAAAATAATGCTTTGTCGGTGCAAAGTTGCAGTTTTTATTATTTCTATTTTTCCCACTTTTTCCGTTCACTTCCATGTTGAATACCTTTTTACTCATCCTATATTTTATTCAGGCCATTTTTCATATAGCATATCACTACTACGCAAATTCCTTACTTTACACCATTTCTTTTATTTTTTGATAAATTTTGTATGAATCATTGTTATATCTTTCCTCTTTTCATCTTTTTCCTCTGATCTAGTCGAACGTCAAATCCTAGTGGAGAAGCTGTCCGTCAAGTTCCTTACAAGGGTCACTCTGCACCAATAACTGCCATCTCCACACATCCTAGTCCTGGGGCAATAAGTTTCTCCTGCCTATTCCTCACCTCCAGCTTGGACTGGACGATTCGTCTCTGGTCGACCCGAGAACAACGTCCTCTTCAATGCTTTGATGACTATTTTGAATACGTTTACGATGTACAATGGAGCCCTGTACATCCTGCTCTATTCGCTGCTGTTGACGGTAGCGGACATCTGGATATTTGGAATCTTAACCAGGATGTTGAGGTAAGATGCATCTGTATGCAATGAAAATTTCCAATATTTAGTTTTGCTATTTACTTAATATGAGCTCTATAATTTGGCGTACATTCTATTTAGAGCATTCGCCTTTTCTACATATGAATTCGCTTTCATACTAGCTTTTATCCACCGTGCCCTTGTTCGACTGTATTGGTGGTCTTAATCATAGCTTTTGTTCTGTCCCCTTTTGTATTGTAGCTTGCTATTGTAGCTTGAGGGCAATTTTGAAACCGAATGAGTGCTGATATTTCGTCAACCCATAAAGGCCTACGCACGAGAACTCCAGGGCATAACTGGCTTCCGTTGCCTTCATAAGACAGCTCCACTAAATTCAATGTAAAACGACTTTTAACCAGCACTTATTTAAATCTTGCTCAAAATTGTCTTTCGTGTAATTTCTTTAAATGGTCATGGGGAGACATTTTACTTCTTCGTTAATAAACGTCTTGTGAGGCTTTAATATTCTAATTAACGTCATGTTCCAAAGCAAGCGCTTACGATAAATTTTTCGTTTATAAGTAAGTTTTCGAGACTTTTATGAGGTCAACCGACCTTAAACTCCATGCAAGCTTAATCAATGGAGTCTTTTCATTTCTCAACACCAAATCTTAGTGATTTCATTGCTAATAATCTGGATGGTTTGACTCATGCAAGAGTGGCTAGGGATTTTTATCTAGTTGTTTACCTTTAAATTCAGTCGACTAAAAACATTATTTCAATTAAACTTTGGTTTTCTCTGGTGAATATTCAATATCAATAGTTTGGATTTCAATATCCCCTCAGTTTTCTTGTTTATTATTTTTCATAAGTAAGCAACCTGCATGTCTTCTATTTTTATATAGGTGCCCGTGGTTCGTCGTTTGTTGGGCGAGCAGTCGGGCGCCTGCGCATCCGTGGTGCATCCAGCTTCCATCTATGGCTCGGTGCAAGCTGGATCGGCGCTAAATCGATGCCGATGGGACGTGAACGGCCAGTTTCTGGCAGCAGGTGACCGTCAGGGTCGAGTTACTGTTTGCTCGGTCCACGAGTCGCTCGCTATTCCCGGTCCAGAGGCTTGGTCATCCCTTGCTCATACTATGGCCGAGCTGAAGAGTTTTCGTAGCGAGGCGGAGGCCAGACTATCCGAATGATCTATGTATAACGTCTTCAGTTTTTGCTAATACTCTCCTGTTCATTTGCTTATCAATAAATTAACCGCACACATTTCTGCTTTCTTGCAATCACTCGCTGATTGACTCTTGCCTTTTTATTCCCTTTTATTTCCCCCTCCTTTCGTCTTCTGACAACTTTACTCTGCATTCCTTGTGATATGTAATGACCGTTGTGTCTAGGATGATTCAATTTTTTGTCTTTCTTGTCTAACTGAACTCATGATAAGCTCAATGACAAGTTTACATACCAATTTGGGCCTATTTGGGTATGACTTTCCTAGACCATGTTGTCTAGGTAACTAATTTTTAATCATACAATTTGACTTTTACACAAAGTTACGAATCATGGTATCTACTTAATACTTATTTATAAATGTTAAGGCGTATTATTGTATATATAATGTTTGCTAAACTAAATCCTAGTTATTAATTGTCCTGAGTAAGGGCTGCCTGAACTTTTTCTCTATATTTTCATTATACTATACATTAACCAATTTTCTGCTCATTCTCCATATTTTCTTATAGTTTCCCTATGCATATCACAATCTTTTTCCTTATATACATATCTTTATATATTTTATTCATTATCCTATTTATTCACTTTATGTTAACTACCTTATTTATTCCTTCCCCGCAAACAAGAACCATTTGCTACTTACCCGCTTACTTATAAGTCCCTACATAGGTTCTCTAGTATGTCTAATGTTAAATGGAGGAT